AGCAAATGTATGAGCCTTATCTTGTCAGTGTTGGACCCCCAAGCCTGATGGGAACCATGTTGACATGCCTTAAATGCTCACCAATATAAAGATCGAATAATGCAAGACCTTTGTTGCATCATCAGTTTCACCCATGGATTTAAAGCCTTTTGTAAAGAAAAATATGCAGACTGAGTTTTTTAGGCTAAGTCTTAACTATGGTGAGGGACATTACTGCATTGCTCCAGTATAAGCACTCATACAGACTTTGTAACTGACTCTCAATTCCTTTTCTGTTTCCTTTTTGCTTATATTACAAATGCCTCATGTTATAACATTTGTGTAATTACCATTAAATTTATTATAAACATTTTTTGTATCTAAACAATGACTATTTTGGGGCGTCATTTTAGATATATTTTTTTTTAAATATAAGACCTGAGCAAGGGCACTTGATGCCAAAAGCTTATCCAACTATATAGCCAGTCCAATAACACAAAAATGCTTACATCTTATACGCTTCCTGGACCATCCCAGCTACAACAACACTCTGATCCTCTTAAAATGTGTATTCATTTTCCTCTAATGTTGTTTACTATCTCTATGGGAAATGGGAATTTCAGAGTGATGAGGGAAAAGGTCTTCAAGTTCATTGCCTAAGTGTATTTACGTTTTATGACTATTGGTCCAGAAAAGTAATTAGGCATGTGCTTTACTTTAGAAACCACTCCAGTGCCCAAAGTTAAGCACATGCTGAAGGGCTTTGCTGAATCTGGATGCAAGTCAATACTTCTGATGCCAGTTGCATATGTGACAACAAGAAAAACAGAACCTGTTTCATGGGAACTCATTCTCCCTCTGTACACTCAGAGATAACTTAAAACTATTGTATTTCTTATGTTTATAGAAGAAAGATTTGTTGGTATGCATACTAATGGGTAACCAGTCTGAGCTTCCAATCGTTTTTCCGGTTAATCATCTGTTGACTCTTCAGCTAAATGTTTTCTCACCCTCACCTTTTCATTTGACCTGCTGCCTTAGCTCAGCGTTTCTAATTATTGACAGACTCTTTCACTTGGCTTGCTCTTCATCTATCCCTGCTTTTTCTCTTGATCTGTTACATTGAATTCACCCTCTGACCATCCCTTGGGTTCTCTAAGCATCACCCATCAGCTCTTCATGCTCTATCACAAATCTTTTACTGAGTTCCAGTCCACTCCTACCCTCTCTTTACTTTCACTAATATGGAAGAAACAGTTGTTCATTCTCTCTATGCTTCCTTCTCTTCCACTTTTCTGCACCTCTCCCCATTAACAGTCTGCTCTGCCAACCTCCAGCCCTGGCCTACACCCAAAATCTACTTCCCCTTTTCCTGCTCTCACACAAGTAGCTGATTTTTTTACTGTAAACAATAAAAGGACTTATTATGCAGGAGAAAAGAATTAGTCAAGAAAAACTAACAATCAGTTTGGAGACAGGAAAAAACTACAAATAACTTACCCTCTCATATGACTTCCACGTAGTCCTTCAGAGACCTGCCAGTATTTTCAGAGATCAGCCTGCCTGCTGATCCTGCCAGCCCTGGCTGCTGGAAACCTGGACTTTTCCCCAGCCTGGGATAATCCAAAGATGCTGGCCACCTCACAGATAGCCCTTAAAATACCTCTAAGCCATTCCCCCACCCATCTTACCCTTCATCAACATTGTTCTGATAACTCACCAGTTGCAGAATCCTCCATAAATGTCTTGCTTTCTGGTTAATGGGCCATTTCTTTCAGATGCCTTTGCTATTTTGTGTTTGTTTTTCCCATTACCAGCAGACAATAACTTGGGCACCTATTCCACTAGTGGCTCCTAGTCTGTGTTTGGGAGTGACAATTATCCTTGCCCTAGAACACAGTGGCAAGTGATACTTGGTAGTTTCACTTAGTACCTTTTCCTTAAGTATACATCCCCCTGCTCCTTTGACTAAACCACGTCCAAAATCCTAATGATATATACAAACCGCATAACATAACCCATACAGTGATAAAAGGACACAGCATAACATGGGCTTTTTCAATGAGACCATACACACCATTTCAGTACAATACAAGAAAATCTGCATGAAACCCCCTTCCCTCCATAATATTTGGTGGGGCTCATGACACCTTCTTTCCTTTTGCTTCCACTTTTATTTGTACATAGGATGACACTTATTTCTTCCAAGATAAAATGGATAAAATACAGCATGACCTTCTTCCTCCAATGGGCTAGCTACATTTTCCCTTTCCCTCAGTCACCAGCACATGTGTTTCCTGTCCTCCAATAACACTCCACTCATTGCAGTGGCCCCACACCATCTTCTTATTTTCCTAACACTTACTCTCATCCACATTCCTACTCTTCTCTCAATACAAATATGCTACACTCTCCTAAAAACATAAATATGCTATATTCTATCCCATCTAAAAAATCTAAAAAACCTTAACTCCACTTGCCACTGTAATTACAATCCTATCTTGCTTTTCCCTTTCTCTTCTAAGCTCTTTGGACTTGCTCGGTATGAGCATATCTACACATCTCCATATGGTGACATTGCTACAGTGCCATGCTTTAGTACTTTCTTTTGGAAGTACTTCCTTTTGGAAGTCCTAAAGCATGGCACAGTATGGGTGGGCACTGCACCATACGGGTGGTGCACACTTCGATTTCCCCACTATGTTGCCATAGCAATGTGCTGCACCACTACAGCGAGGTAGCAGGTGATCACATGCAGACCCATGTGATTGCTACGTCACTACAGCATGCTGTACAGTGATATAGCGCATTGCTACTAGGGCTGTGCAAACAGCAGTGTTCCATTTCGATGAGTGTTTTGATGTTTCGATGGAACCGAATTCTGTTTTCAATTTTGTTTTGATTCAAAATAGCTGTTCCATTCTGTTGAAACAGTTTCGCCATTTCGACCCTGTTTCAACATTTCGCCCATAGGATATAATGGGGAAGGACAAAACAGGTTATAACTTTGTCTTTTCAGGCCTGATGTGGATGAAACACACAGAATGGTAGCCACTTCTGAGGGCATGAAGCCTGCCAAGTTTCAAGGAGATAGGTGCAGGGGTTCAGGGAAACTGCACCCCAAAATCTTGAAAGCAAAACTCATGTCACGTGTACATGTTAAGCCACAGTACAGTCAAAACTGCAGGCATGCTAGCCCCTGTAGAGGCCACAAAGCCTGCCAGGTTTCATGAAGATAGGTGCAGGAGTTTGGCAGAAACTGTACCTCAAGCTGCGGAAAAGCAAAACCCGTGACATGGGTGACACTGTGTGTGTTAAGGCACAGCAGGGTGAAAGCTGCAGGCTTGCTAGCCCCTGCTGAGGCCACAAAGCCTGCCAGCTGTCAAGGAGATAGGTGCAGGGGTTCAGGGAAACTGCACCCCAAAATCTTGAAAGCAAAACTCATGTCACGTGTACACGTTAAGCCACAGTACAGTCAAAACTGCAGGCATGCTAGCCCCTGTAGAGGCCACAAAGCCTGCCAGCTGTCAAGGAAATAGGTGCAGGGGGAGTCTGGGTTCTGGGGCCTGCCCCTCTAGCTGCTGACAGGTAAAACTCGTGTCATGGGTGCTTGTCGGACTGTGTCTATCCTGAGGCAGAGGGGGGGTGAAAACTGCAGGCCTGCTAGGCCCTGCTGTGGCCACAAAGCCTGCCAGCTGTTAAGGAGGTAGGTGCAGGGGGGTTCTGGGGCCCTGCACCCCTAGCTGCTGACAGATAAACTCGTGACATGCTTGTGCAACCACTGTAGCTTAACACATACACGTGACATGAGTTTTGCTTTCAAGACTTTGGGGTGCAGGTTCCCTGAACCCCCTGCACCTATCTCCTTGAAACTTGGCAGGCTTCATTCCCTTAGAAGGGGATACCATTTCTGCAAGTTTCATCCAAATCAGACCAGAAATTACAATGTTATAGGCTGTTCTAACCTTCCGCATTATAGTCTATGGGCGAAACGTTGAAACAGCATCAAAACGGTGAAATGTTTTGACTTGCCTCATTTTGTTTCAAGGCTGTTTCGACGATATCCGTTTTGTTTCAATTTTGCTGTTTCAACCTTGAAATGAGTTGAAACCATGTCGAAACAAAACTGGTGGCAAAATTTCGCACAGCCCTAATTGCTACATCACCCTAAGGTGCCGTACAGCAACATAGCACATCACTTTGTCACCATAGGGCATATGTAGATGTGCCCCATAACTGCTATGTGGAGGGCCTCTCCTCCACGTCCATCTTAGTCTACAACTAGGTCAAATTTTTCAGATTAATTCATCTTCAAAATACAGTATCAGGTTGACCCAAACTGAAAGGCACAAATGAGACTTAAACCCACCTTTAATCTTGTTCTCCAGGCAATGTCTCCATTGTCATAATTAGTGAGAGGTGGAACAGGTAATTAACTCCCTTATATGCAACTTGTGTAGCCCCATATGATAAAGCTGGAGAAAATGGACTGTATGTTGCTTGATTGACTCAGAATAATATGTTTTAAAAGGATTCAGTGAAGCTTTTAAAACAGGCCTCATCTGACAATGTTTACGCATCACAGAAGAAGTGAAATTGAGTATCTTTGTTGTGACTGGTACGTGACAGCTTTGAGAATTTATTGTAAATTCTTGTGCTGTCACAATATATAGATGCAAGCAATTCCAACATATATTAGTAGGTGGAGGAATTGGCACAGTAGCTTTAACTCACTTTCTGCTTCAGTTTGTGCTATTTTTTCCAGACAAATGTAAAAATATTGATTTCTATAGTCATTTTTATAATATTATTGTACTTTGTATTCCTAGTTAACTGTTGTTATGCCATGAGCCATGGAGAAAAATAACAATTTCTGTCATCACAACCTTGTTCAGGTCTCATTTCCTTTTGAACAGCTAAAAGCAGACCCTCTGTTGGTATAAACTGTCAGAGCTCCATTGAGTTCAGGTGGGGATTCATCCACTGATTTCTAAATCCATTCACCCTGGGCTTTTACTTACTTGAGTTATATTACCAAATGTTGGCTCAGCTGTTTGAAGGAAAAGCATTTGAGTCACCGTATCTAAACCTAAAAAACAAACAAACAAAAAATGTAAAATTACTCAAAATTGTAAAAAATATTAAGGATAACAAACTACAAATAATAGTGAAAAGCAATCAGACTGACCTAATTACTTATTTAGATACAGCAAGAAAGTTTAACCCAGTATGCAGAGACAATGTTTTCTCTCCAAATCTTTCCCATTTTTTGTTCAGCAATGCCACGAACATTTGTGAAGGAGTAACTTTGCACTCATGTAAACATTGATACATGTTAAAGAATCAAAGCAATGATTTATTGAAAGAAAGACCAGTTCATTCAGGTTGTACATTTGAACAGACCCATTAATTATTTACCAGTCAGTTAAAGTAGTCCATCTAAAATAAGTCACCAACAATGATTGCTTCATTATTTGGCAGCTGGAGCCATTCAGCCTAAATATAATCCCAGGCTTTATGTTTACTGGGGAGTATGCTATAAGTATCTCCTGTTCCTGCCCATTCCAACTGTATCTCAGGGGATTTTCTACATAAAAATATTTTGTAGTACAAACCCATGTTCACCACCAAATGCCATCAAATCTGACCATATTTACTCATAACTTGGATATGACACCATCCTATGACACCTTAAAGTAAATACCCAAGAGAAAATTATTATAAGGGCACAATATTTTACTATGCATAGGTATCATGCTATTATAGCAGATATTATATAGCAGAATATTATAGATACTCAAGGTTGGGAGCTTGTTTGTATTCAGCAATGACTATATTAGGTGCTCTAAAATCTATGGGCTAGACTCAGATTGTTTTGAAATTTGCTGTTGCTTTTTTGAGTACCATGCCAATAAAAAATACTATGTATTGCTTACAGTTACATAATACATTGAATTTTCAAAACACTTTAAAACATAGAATATATTTTAATGACAGTAGGGGCTAAGTTATACCTTTAAGGACAAAACAAATTTGTCAAGGGGGTATATTACTTCCATATCTCAGAGGCACTGTAATGCAAGGGAAGAAGGCATTGTGACTTAAATCCTGTAGAAGAAGTGTAACATGATGAAAAGTCTTTGCTCTCCCCAGTGTGAGATATATGTGTATGCAGTCTAGATAACAAGCCAGTACTATGTCTGTTTCAGTCTGGAAGAAAAACTGAAAGAAATAAACTTTTTCTCTTTGATTATTTAGAATAATGCTTGTTTTTGAACTGTTGAAAATATTGATTATGTCATTACGTGCATAAAAGCGCATGCATACACCCACCCACGGACACAAACACAGAAGAAAAGTCAAGTAATGAGATAAAAAGGCATGAGGAAGACAAGAGGCCAAGTTACGTCCTCAGATGCAATGCTACTGAAAGTTGGAGCTGGCCTAAGGTCACTTCCTCATGATATCTCACTCTAAATCATGCTAATAGCTCTAAGTGAATTTAAAAATGATGTGTACCTAGTACTTTCTACTGACCCATTGAATAAATACAATGTCAGTGATGATCTTTGGCAAAGCTACTTACACACCTGGACAATCATTTCTGCCATTGTCAACAAATGTCACTATGAAGACTGGGATACACTGCCTGGTTTGCACTTCTGACATGCAGAAAAAACAGTGATCATGACAAAAGTTGGCCAGTTTATGATACATAAATTGAGAAATAAGTCCAGTACATGCTCAGTGTTTCTCTTTAGGGTGTCTGCCTATGGACCTCAGTGGTGGTTTGATAACCAGGTATATACCATAATCAATCTTATTTCTCTGAGGGAGGGACTTTAAAGTATAGCTAGCTCAAGAAAGTAGAAGTCACATGGTCTTTCACCCTTTGTTCTTGAATACAAGTTTTTCCCTGTAACTTACTGTTTCATTCTACGTGTATCAACTTGAGATCAATAGGATTGACAGTCTTTTCTGAAGCTCTAACACTGCTCTAAAGCAGTCATTAAGAAGTGCTTGAGCTTGCACAGCAGACTGGCAATTTTGAAGCAAATGCTATATCTGGAGAATCAGAGAAAACTGGTTAACCTTACAGGGCTCCCTTCACTTCATGGTATATCATTTTCTTATCTAGGGTTCTTCCTCTATTTAAAAAATGGAGCCTGAACATATTCTCTCCTTTAGCTATAGCTTTTGACAGGATGGCTTGTTTTCCTCACTAAATGATGAATGAAAATTATTAGCAAGTACTTTGTTTTCCCCTCCCGATCCCTGACACATGGAACAGCAGTCCTATGAGTCAGAATTCTACTTGCTGGCTAGAGATAATATGAAGATGTGTTAAGAAAAGGACTACTAAGGTACTGCAGCTAAGGCTTATGTCAAATGAGTGGACTGACCTGAGTTATATTTACTAATTTTAAAGCAAAAGCTTGAGTGTGCAGTTGACCGAGCCCTTAGACCAGTGGTTTGGAACCTTTTTAGCCTCAAGGCACCTTTCCATAACTTTTCAATTTAGGGGAGCTGGCACATGGTCTGCCAGGGGGATGGGGAGGAAGGCAGCAGTGGCAGTGCCAGTCTCCAGAGGAGCAGCTGCAGGTACCACTGAGCAGCTGGGGCAAGTGCAGGGTCTGTACTATGGGAGGAGAGTTTTTACCTCTTCTCACAGAGGCTGATTGGTGCAGCACCCTTGTGGCACCTCAGGGTGCTGTAGCACCCCAGTTGAGAATCACTGCCATAGAATGGGAAAAAATCCAGGAGGAACTAGGAACAACTTCAAACTTCAACTTCTCTTCAAACTGCCTGATGCACTCTGTCAAATTGGATTACACAAATTAAAGAACAGCACAATAATCAGAAACTAAACGTTAATTTCAACATCCACATATAATTTCCCATCTGGGAAAAAGAAAGGACAAAAGAGTTATGTCAGGCAGATGTTAGCCACTGTGATAACCGCAAAAATGTAAGGTCCTTAGACATGACAGAGCTAAGACAGTAACATGTATTTTTTATTTTGTTTTGTTCCTTTTTTTTTCTCTACCAATCACTAAAGATAGCTAAAAATCCCAAGAAAAAATGGGTAGAATGTGTATACTTTTATTTTCTCCATCTATGTATTCGTTTTTCAATGGAAATCTAGGACTGAAAACAGAATTTTCTTAAGTTTTCAAAGGCCAGCACCTAACAAATTTTATAAAACCTAAACAGAACAAACAAACAAACAAAAGAAAAGCTTGTAGTTCTTTTTTTTTTCCAAGAATCTTTAACAATTTGATCTATAGGAATATTTAAAAATAAGTTTTGGTTTGAAACCATTTTTTTTTTAACACTGAATAGGTGTTTTGCACAAAAAAACCCAAAACAATTCTACTCATTAACAATGATTTCAATAGAACTCTCGCTCAGTGGAAGCACAGGTCCTATTATTGGTCACTTTATATTCAATAGGAAAAACACAAAATAAAATAAAAAATTAGGGAAAACAAAATTGGGAGAGGAGTATTATTCTGTATTGATAACTGGATATATAGATATGATATTCAAACAGTTTAGGGTACTGATGAGACTGCATATTATCCTAAAAAGGGGAAAACAGTTCATGAGAATGGAATGGATCCACTCAAAACTATCTGCAAATAATTAGAATTTATTGCAGATATTCTACAGTGAGAAGAGGAAAAATAAAGAGTTACTGAGAGCATAAATAAGATCAACAGCAGTTATTGGTTTATAAAAGAACGTATAAAGTACTTCACATGATCACTTTATATAATGCATCTATTTTGGCATCTAAGACAAAGTTGCTTGATTTTCAAAGACAGAAGTAAATCAAGCTGTTTCAAAATATATGGAACTATTCCCCAAAATACTTCCAAGCACATTTCATTACATTCCTGTGTACTGATCCTATAATTCAAGGGTGTAAAACATATTGCCTGTGGGCTGGACCATGTCAGTTGGCACATACACTGATAAAAGGACCAGGAATTCAGAGGTGGGGCAAGAGGGGGTGAGGCCTGTCACCAAAATTGTGGGCATGGAGCCCTGATCAGTGTGTGTCAGTGGTGGGGAGAAAACAATGGCTGTGGTAAACCCTGCCACCAGTGCTTGCCCTGCTGCTTCTGGTCATCCCGCTGACTGCCCCACCAGTGCTGCACTTTGGCCCACTGCTTGCCCTGCACTGCATCCATATCCAGCCAACAAGGAGTCCTGCAGTCTAAATCCAGCCTGGGAGACAGGTGGAGTTTGACACCCCTGCTGTAGTTGTATCTATTGACTTTACTATATTCTTTAAGGTTGGTGATGTTATTATTCACATTTCTGTACAATCAATTTATCACGTGGATACAACCACTGAACATTTGATATACATACCATGATAAATTGCACATCTATGAGATAAGTGAATTCATTATGAACATCTTACTTTCTCACTTCCTCTTTGCTGACTGATCCATCACTAAGAGGTTATTAGAGCTTTATACCAGAGGGAATAGAAATACATCACCTTCCCACAGCACTCTTAAGCCTTGGGGTCCAGTGGTACAGACCATTACTTTTGTGAGTAGCCTGATTCATTAAAAATAGTTACATGCAAGGACTACTTGTGTAAGGATTAACCACAAAAGGCATTGCAGATATAGTCCTATCACTTATTTTGTAGATGGTGTTTTATAGAACAAGGATACAAAGGAAGGAAAAAAGGGGAAAAGGAAAAACATTTGTTTTACTCTAGCAAAAACAGAAAATATCAAAAACAAATGAAATTTTTCCATTAAAATTTTCATTTTATGAAGATAAATGTCTTCATGTATATTTTAGGAGACAATGCATATTTAATCAATAACATTTAAAAAAAAATAGAAGAAAAGGTAATTTTCCACAGAATTTTCAACAAAAAAATGTTATCTACCCCTAATATTATTATGTTAATTGACAAATAATCCATACCAAGCATGTCCAACTGGTGGCCTGTGATCTGCACATGGTCTGCAAGTGATTAATTTGTGGCCTCCAGATGTTGCTCCCTCTATCATTCTGGCTGCAAGAACAGACAGGGGCTCCAGAATCCCCCTCTAAGTC